TAGTGCAGAATTAGATGAACATCTACATGTTACTGTGTGTATAATAGTATGTGTATATATTCTCTATTTACATATTCTATCTGAAGAAATAAGTTGTGAAAATGTTCTATTTGTATAAAAACAATTTGGGTAATGTCTTTCGAGTTATAAGATCATGTTTTAGAACTTGACTTGAAATTGAAAAACATTCTAGGATACTAGAGGGTGTTCAGACAGTGCTTAACACTTAGATGCATAGTGTTGTAACTCCTTGTCAAATTGATGAACATTCTTAGCTCTGCTGATTTTTCTAATTGCTTATCCCTATTAACTAGACAACATACCCAAATGTGTTTGGTTCAAAGTTTATAGTTGAATATCACATCGGATTTGGATAAAGATTTTCGTCTTATTATTTTGCTCCAGTCCAAGCACAAAACTGCAGACCCAATAGGAATTCTTTTATTAGGAATCCCTGGTAAGCTTAGTGGTATTCACTCGTCCATCAAAAACATTATTTTGAGCCCTGAACTCTGGACAATGAAAAGATTATTAGATATTTTTGTTTGGGCTGGCTCTGAATTTATTGATAACACACCATTAACTCATTACCAAAGGTATTGGTAGCGGAATACTCACACTTGAATGCTTTTCTGAATTGTATACATGTTCCTGATATGACTTGTGAAATAATCAAGTAGTGACATTATTCCAAAATTTTTGAACTGAAGAAAATGACTTAATATGTTATTTATACTCCAAGATACCCTCTCATGCTACGTCTTATATCCGAAAAACGTGGCTAAGCACAGACGCACTATACCTTGCGTTAAAATTTAGTTTAGTGGACGTAATTAATTGATGTCCATGTGAAAGTAATTATGTTGGTAGAAAATAGATTATCTATACTAGACATGGCAAATTCGTATTGATAATTCAGATAACTAGCATCGGATTAAAATGCAGTATCCATTTAAAAGAAGAATAGGTAAATATCCTAGGACGATTTTCACTAGTACTTGAAGGGAGTTCGGGTAATGAACTATTCACAACTCTCTCATTGATCGAGATCTGAATCCTGATCCTCTTGATTTAAAATAGTTAATGAAATAGTAAGCTACACAAATCCAATAAGAATATCACACTAATAACAAATACGGTAAACTGAATATTGGTAAAAATAGAAAAATAACTAAGATTGGTAAAAAAAACTAATAATAACTAATGGAATCCTTAATTTAATGTAAATTTATTTAATATAAAAAAAGTTATTTATTATGTATTCATGTAACGAGTTTTTTCAAAAATAATATATGAAAACCCATATTCATACACTTTTTATTTTCACATATAAAATAACAAGAGATGATCACTTTCTATTTTTACCTGCTTATCGGTACCTCTATCGGTCTATAAGGATGTCCCTTTTCTTGTGAACATAATATCCAATTAAGCAATTAACTGGCCTTTCCACATCTCATTCGATAATGGACGCTAAATATTCCACCACCTCGATACCCCATCCAGTATGAGGGTGAACCATATATCCCAAACTTTATTGGTAAAAAACTTCCTAGTCCTGTTCGACTGAGGTAACGTTCACGGTAAGGTTCCCTATGCACCAGGCTCGTCCACCTTTTCACGGGTATCCAATAAGTCTTTCACATACAGTTTTTTATCAATATAACAATCAACCACACAATACTAATATCTCATTTTAATTTCAAATATCAATAAAACGACATTTAAGTAAGCGATTAAACTTATCACAACTAATAACTGAGTAATCAAAGAACCGGATAAATCACGCAGGAATGAACCAATTAATCTAGATAATCGAGAAGACTATAAAAACTGTCAATGTAAGCATGCACAATATAATGGTAAGTAATTTAGGCAGCACATAAAAATAAACTAGAAATCAGGACAAATGTGCACTAATCGGTTCCGGTTCCACTAGTAACATATAATTATTTTTAAAGGTTTTTAATTTTTCATGAAAATATGAGATTATGTAACGTTAAGCCTTAATTTACCATAACGGAAAATAGGGTGAAGGATCCTTATCTGGATTGGTATTTTGAGACATCGTGTTGTCTACTACGCCTCCTAACGAGTATTGATTTTCTTGAATTTTTTCTGTAAAATCTAAAACACTCGTTACATACTTAAAAATATCCCAAAAATTCAAAATCATCATCCAAAACTCATTTCGACTAATTTTGGGGTTTCGACACGGCAGTGCCGCCTTGCTGCGGTGCTGGCTCCATTGCCCGTGAGCGGCGGTTCATCTCAGCCTGGCCGGTTTTGGCCATATCCCTGCAGAAAAATAGTTAAGGACCTCGGTTAGCTAGAAAATCACAAAAGGGGAGACCTCCAGGTCCAGCAGCTCCGCCTGTCCTCCTTCCTGGCTGAGGTTCTTTCTTCGGTTAAGCTACACAGAAAATGACGGTGAACACAATGATTAAAAAATCACGTGAAACAAGAATCGAAAAGGGGTTAATCAGAGGGGTTTTGACCGCGATGGCTCTGTCAGATTTTGCCCATGATTTTTTGCTCACTCGTAATCCCTTTTACTCCGATTTGGCCACATGGATGCTCGAAATTGAATTTTGAGTGGGTAGGAAGAATTTTTACCTTTTTGGCGGTCGGTGGTGGCTCTAGTACGGTGGCAGTCGGCAGTTGGCCGCCTTCTCCGGCGAGGGCTGATAGTTAGGGTTTGGATTCCTGTGTTATGCGATGTATTTATATCTATCCCACGTTGATTTAAACTATCTATCACAATCGATCTCGTCCGTCCAATCGTGCATAGATAAGAAATGAATTTGAACCATATATCGCGATTTAATTTCGTTCGTCCGATCGCGCTTAAGGGAGGAACAAATTTAGACTTCCACGCGCGCGGAATCGATATTGGGTTGTCCAATCACAGGACACACGGATCACCCGCGTGGCATCCTGCATGGCACTGACGTTAGCGTGCCTTGCTACGCGTCGTTCTCCGGTTCGTCGGGGCTGCTAACTGGGCAGTCCTACGTAACACAAATTTTTTTATTTGCACTTTGACTCCCTATTTCTAATTTTTCTTTTAAAAATATCATACGAACCCAAATTTTCACTCATTTTTCTCAAAATTATTTTCAATTACATTCTTAACCTATTTTTTTCAATAAATTTAACAAAAATTAAATTAAATTAATTTATAAATAATTTTTTATTTATTTTCAAAGGCTAAAATTAATTTCGGATTAAATTTCGGGTTTGGGTATTACAATACACATAATTTTCTTTTAAAAAAAAAACAATTGTACAACGTACTTACATTCATGTTCTAAAATATATAATATACAAAGATTATGAGTGAATAAGTAGTTGTTGTAAAGTTGAATTTAACACAGCTAAACAGCCAAACTTTATTGATAATCTGATGTCATAATAAATAAACAAACAAAAATGTTTGACGCTAAACCACAAGAAACTAATAGAGAAGTGAAATTTCGCTACAAAGATTATAAATAAACTACTAGTGAATAAGCATTTGTTCACAAACTGAATCTAACACAGCCAAACAACGATTCTCATTTCAGCATAAATTAGTTGATAATCCCTGACGCTGTAATAAATAAATAAACATTTCAGACGCTAAACCACAAGATAGAGAAGTAAAACTAGCTACAATCGGAAATGAATCATGGAAATAAAATCAAGAAGTAAGAAAGAAGAAGAAAGAGTTCGAAAAAAATACCTAGAGAAGACTCGGAAATAGAAAAAAAATGACTCGAAGCGTACAAGACAAGATTCAATCAAAATCTGTGAAAAGATGCCAAGAA